ATGCTGTTTCTGAAAAAAGAAAGAAGGAAAGAAGGAAAGGAAGGAAGGAAGGAAGGAAGGAAGGAAGGAAGGAAGGAAGGAAGGAAGGAAGGATGGAAGGAAGGAAGGAAGGAAGGAAGGAAGGAAGGAAGAAAGAGAAAGAAGGAAGGAAGGAAGGAAGGTTACTATACCAGCGTCCTCTCTCCTTGGGAAGAATTGTAGTGTGTAACCAGCAAAATTCCCCACCCTCTCTTCCCCAGATCCACCAGAAAAACAGAGGAATCTGTCCAGTGGGAAAACTCCTTTAGCCTCACTCATGTTGAGTGCAAGCACACACTCATGAAGGTGTGTAAGCCAGCTCTTCAGGCCTTTATCTCCTTCCATTTTAGACAACCAATGTTTCAATTGCCTATTCCAATTCTCTGACAAACTAAGACTCCAAGGAGGACATCTCTCTGCCTATTATTGGATATTGTGAGCTATGAAGTATGGTCCTTGGTCTGAAGAAATGACGACTGGCCATCCAAATTGGTGCAGTGTCTTTTGTTCTGATTTTTTAATAGCTTCTGAGCATTTGCATCTACGCCCTGGATAAGTAAAGCCCTGTCTAGAGTCAATGTTTGTTTCCATCAGGACCCATTCATAGCCTCCCAAGGGCAACAACATCAGTCTGACTTGCCAGCTATGATCAAAGCCTTCCCCCTAGGGAATCTGCCACATAGCCACATGCAGTCTTCATGTCCACTTATTTCATGGGCCCAGGTGGCCACCTCAAGTGAGCACACAGGGATATCTGCTTGTTTATTCCAATCGCCTTCCGAACCTGGAAGAGGATTCTTCTGATGGGCATCAACATGTCTTACTTCAATGCGCCCCTCAAATTCCCACAGGGGTTTCCACAGGGCTGTGCCCCATACAGGCCATTGGCCGCTATCCATGAGTTGGTAGAAACCAAAATATAGGGAATTCTACCACTGTTCAATTCTTCTGTCACTCCTGGGAAAACAGCATGCAATTTAGCTCACTTGGCTGATCTGTTTTTACCTTCTTCCATCAGAGTGGTGGCCTTCCAAATAGGATGTTGTCCATTCACGGTGGAACTGCCATCCATGAACCAAATAGCTCTTTGTTGGTCAGTCAAGGGCACTGTCTAGGTGACAATAAAATCCAGCAGCTCCTCATACCTTTCCAAAATTGGTCCTAAGGGAAAAGAGGCTCCCTGCTCGTATCTCCTTGCGTTCCCAGGCAGCATGATCCTGTACAAACCATTTCCATTTCATTATCAAAATCTTTGGGACACTGCAATACCCATTAGAGTGTTTCTCTGACATCACTACAACTAGGGACAAAAGACATTGTGGGTATTTCAGGTTTCAAGATGATTTTATGTTGTTCAGTCATAGAGAATAAGTTCAATGTATGTCTGATAGCAAGGTAGTAAATTGCCCCTCAAATGGAAATTCTCTTGTCCAAAGTTCCAGTAGTCATCACTAGGAGGTGCTCGTGGGGTGTTGCCATCAGCTCCAGTCCACACTCCACATGAGCTAGCTATTGCTAGTGTCCCCACCCACACCCCAGTTTCTATTCTACACTGTGTGGGCTTGGGCAATTGCACAGGTTCCTATTCAGCACATCCAATTGTTGTGGCTTGAAGGGCAGATTTACATGCCTGTTTTACAAGATTAGATAGAGACGATACACTGTCCATTCCCATAATACAATCAGGTAAGAGATGCAACCACTTCATATAAAGCCTGCTAAAACATACCAGTTCTTATAATAACTTTTACCTGAATTCCATCACCTCTTATGTTCCTAACTAGCCCCTATGAGGACTTCATCAACAAGTCTCTCAGTTTTACAATACCAGGTAGGGGAAGTG